CGCTGCACTGTTCTGGTTACTCTCAGGGGCGGGGGGTAAAGCGGGTGTATGGCCAAAGAAAATATATACACACAACTGAAAAATCTAGGGATATCATTTTATTAAAGTTAAAAATAAATGTTTTGAATAAACAACCACATATTTGTAGGCCGGTTCTTTCTACTTCGATTGAAACGAAGTAGTCACACTAGTTATTTCTAAATTTGGAATATTTGCAGAAGTGTTTGTGCATTTTTGTCAAATGTATAAAAAGCACCTAGCATCAATTGTTCGAATTTAACCTGTACTGGCTATGTTTTTATGATATAACTGGCCAGAATTCATTCAAATAACTCTGTTTAGTATTAAACGACATTATGGAGCGTAGACATCTTAACAGAGACGAAATGCTAAGGGCCATGGGTATGCTCGAAGCTGGAATGAGCGAAATCGACGTAGTTAGAGCATTAAATACAACGCAAAGTGTAATATCGAGATTAAGTGCACGCTACCGTGAAAGTGGTAATGTTGCTGAAAGGCACACAGGGCGACATCGCATTACTACCCCTCAGCAAGATCATTTTTTACAATTAAATGCTCGACGCCGACCGACTCTTACAGCACCAGAGCTTAGTTTAATTCTCCAGGAAACACATAATGTAACCGTTAGTCCTGACACTGTTCGCAATAGATTAAGAGAGGTCAACTTAAGAAGCAGACGCCCCTGGAGAGCTCAACCCTTAACGAGAGGAAATCGAGAGGTACGATATTTGTGGGCTCAAGATCATGTTCAGTGGTCGAATGAACAATGGGCCAATATTCTCTTCACGGATGAGTCACGCTTTGGAATTCATCCGGATTCGAGAAGGCTTAGGGTATGTAGAGAACCGGGAAATTTTATTCGGTTGATTCATGTTCAGGAAGTGCACCCTTATCAAGGTGGAACAGTTATTGTCTGGGGAGGAGTCCAGTTAGGCCGAAAAACCGATCTCGTTTTTCTTGAAAGGTTTCTAACAGGAATCACATATCGTGATTTAATTCTTGAGCCTGTCGTGTTACTATATGCCAATGATTTTGGGAGAAACTTTATTCTCATGCATGACAATGCACGGCCTCATACAGCCAGAGTGGTAAGTGAGTTTATCAATGCTCATCAATTAAACATCTTACCCTGGCCGGCACAATCTCCTGACCTCAACCCCATCGAGCACGTATGGGACGCGGTCCAAAGAAGAATTTTGAGAATGGGTATGCCTCGTGAAACTCGTAGGGATCTGGTTCGAGCCGTGAATGCAGCGTGGCAGGCTGTACCTCAAGAAGAGATCGACAACCTTATCAGGAGCAAGGAGAGATGATGTAGGGCTGTAATGAACAGTAGAGGAGGCGATACCCTTTATTAAGTAAAAATGGTTTTATCTTTTTTTTTAATTCACAGTTTAGAATTAAAAAAAAAGTGTGTATTTTTTAAGTTCAATAAAAATCAAGGCAAATTTGAAAATTTCGGTAAATTTCGCATTTTTATTTCCAATACGTCCTGTAAACTATTTGTTTATTTTAATTTTATTATATCAGAAATGCAAATAATAAATTTACTGACGATGGCTGGATAAAATTGTAATATCCCTAGACTTTTCCGGTGTGTATATTGTATCTCAGAAATCTGCCTTAGGCTTAACCCGATCCTGTCCTGCTAAACCATACCCAAAATTCCAAACACACGTGCTTTGATTAAGGCTTGATTAAGGTTTGCAGAGCTTCAGCATTTGCCATAAAATAGCGAGCAATTTGTTACAAAACCATATAAATTATATATCATTGTAATTACAAAACTTCAATCTATTTCTGTATTGTAACGGAATTTTAAATTATGTCTTTATTCTCGAGAAAATTTAGTCCAACCATAAGGAATATTTTGTTGATAATTAACCATCAAAATCTTAAAAATAAAGAAGTTATCTAAAAATGGAACATATTACAAATATATTCCAGAATTAAATTTAGATATTTCACATACGCAAATATAAAAATACTTACGACTTCTTTAATGTATTCCAGACTCGAAACATTAAGAAATGGACAAACAGCTTATATGATCGATTTCTAAATTTAAATTTTCAAAACGTCACGTGCAACTGATTGATTTAGGTCTTGTCAATCAGCACTGGTCGTTCAGGAGTTGATTTAAAGATTTGTTGAAGAATATTTTCGCGATTTTAATTTCTGGGAAGGGTAGCTGTTAAAATAAATTTGATTACTTAAAAAAAGTAATAATAGTAAATAGTTCCCTGTCCATCGAGAAAATATTTAACATTACTTTTTCGCGAAAAATCCTCAGACATGTTTTTGGGGTCAAAAAATACCACTCCTAAAATATTGGCTTATTGTTGCCTAGTTAAGATTTATTCTTATAATGTATATATGTTTTTTTTTCTGTATCAATGAATAATAGCATCTCAGAATTGAAACATAGGTACAGTATGTCCCCGGATTGTCTTCACGAGAGGAGAAAAACTTTTTTATTATTGACATTTTGAAGAAAATGCATTTTTTATAATTAAATATAATAAAATAATTTCTTCATAAAAAAATTTGCTTGTTCTAAAATGGTTAATCCCGTTTATACTTTTCCAAATTTTCATACCGTTTTAGAGAAAATTAAGAAAAACATGAAAATATAGTTGACTTTTGATTTAATATGGTTGATTTTAAAACAGTAAAAAATATAATAGTCTAAGAGCTATAGTAAACGCCACGAATGTTTGGGAGTGATTCATCGGTCGCTACCATGTGAACTAATCTGTTCAAGGTCACATAAAACTTAATTCCAGTGCCGTGGTGTTTCAAATCATATAATAATCAATATATAATCTGTTGTAATTTGTTGTTTTAACTGTCAAAGTCTTGTCAAAACATATATTTGGTTATAAATATAAAATAGAATGCCCCATTGGTCGCACTGCAAGCACACCAATGAACTGACGCACAAAAACGAATCAATCAAAGAAACGCGATATAGTATCGTCTATGTCAATCACGTTAACATTTTAGAATAAGTAGGAGGAGCGCAGGCAGATGATTAGACCGGGCCTTTAAAAACCTACGTCTGCGGTAAAAATTTACGTTTTTAATGTAAAAATGACAGCGCGCGTGTCGATTCTAACTTCATCAAGCGATGAATCACTCCCAAACATTCGTGGCGTTTACTATAGCAACGTTTTCGAGAAAGTATTACAAGACGTCTGGCTCTTTGATATATCTTTTACTATGTTCTCTGGAACAGCATGCGGCCCGTCTGGCTGCCGATACCCGTTGCGTTCACTACTGCGCATCGGAAGAAGATCCTATATTTTTTTTAATTTAGTCCTATAAATTCTAGTATTGAATATAAATCGAACATGTCTCCATAGCGCAGTGCGTAGAGTTTCCGACCACGAACCGATCATTCAGAGTTCGAATCCCGGTCAGGTCAAAGACTTTTTTATTTTATTTTCGTTTATATTCTGATAGTGAAGTATTCGAAAGTATTAAATAATTCTGGTAATTAAAAAAAACAAATATTTAATACTTTACTATCAGAATATAAACGAATAAAATAAAAGTCTTTGCCCTGACCCGGATTCAAACTCTGAATCATCGGTTCGTGGTCGGAAACTCTTCGCACTGCGCTATGGAGAAATGTTCGATTTATATTCAATACTAGAATTTAAAGGACTAATAAAAATATAGGATCTTCTTTCAATGTGCAGTAGGGAACGCAACGTTTACCGGCAGCCAAATGGGCCGCATGCTGTTCTAGAGAGCATAGTAAAACATATATCAAAGAGCCAGACGTCTTAAAATACTTGGTTTTCCGACGTTGTTAGCTCTCTTACTATAACGTTAATTAAAATTCTATCAATATCAATCTATCAAAGAATGAAAACGAAATTATATTACCATAGAAACGCGTTTTGATTTTTAGGACTTTTTATTTTAGGAATTATATTTTTGTTTTTTTTTAATTTTCTCTAAATCGGCACAAAAATTTGGAAAAGTATAAACGGGATTAACCATTTTAGAACAAGCAATTTTTTTTATGAAGAATTAATTTTTTCCAAATGCCAATAATAATAAAGTTTTTCCTCTTGTAAAGAAAATCCGGGGACATACTGTATAATGCTTTTTTTAATCTGTACTTGGACGTTTAACAAAGTAAGGCATTATCCTTACTGTTTTTTGCTGTTTCACTGAATTTGTCGTAAGAGTTTCTTTTGTACTGTTGAATAAAGTGTTATTAGGAGATGCAAAATATTAGCGAGTCTGTAGGTCTTTTCTGAAACTTATAGCGGAGGGGGGGGAATAAAAACACGAATAAAATAAATCACATATTTGGTACAAAAAACTTTATTTAATTCACTTAACATCATTCACTTACATTCTTCTATATAGACTGGTGGTAGCAAGGCGGCTGCGGCTTCAAGAATAAAGTGCCTGAGAAAGCCCACCATGATGAGGCGAAACGTCGCATAATAAAAAAAAAGTTTCCATTTTCAATTAATAAAAAAAACCTCATACCCAAGAAAGGAGAAAAAAATATATATAAATTTCTAAAGGTTTAAGAAAAAGAAAAAAAACTTTTATTTAAAAAAAGACCACAACCAAATTATACATCTATTTGCGGTTAGTAAAATATATATTTATTAATACATCTTAAAACTATTAACATCATTATTCTAATTTTAAGACAGCACATTTAAAGTTTTATAACATTTCTTGTCATATATATTGAATCTATTAACTGCAGCTAAAATATCCCTTATCACAGTAATTTTAAAAAACATCGTGGATGCCTGTTTTAACAATTATTGTATGAAATTAAAAATTTGCTGAAAAAATATTGTTACTTATTAATGTTTCAAACAATAATAAATAAAAACAACCTCGTAATTTAAAAAAAATATAAAGTAAAAAATAACCATCACAAATAGAAGTAAAACATAAATACAAAGGAAAATACAATAAAAAATATAAAAAAACACGAATTAATCTAAAATTATTATAATTATTTTGATATAAAATTATTCCAAAATTATGTAAAATGTAAAATATATTTTGAGTTTTACTCAGAGAAGGAAGTAAACCTAGAGAAAATATTCCTAAATATTAGGCAATATTTATTAATATTGCCTAATAGTGTCTACATCATGCACTGTAGTCACAATTTACTAAAACAAATATTAATAATCTGCATATCAACAGCTTGTCTATGCTGGGCCAGAACAAAAATCAATGTCTATAGTTTTAATATACTAGTTCTTGTCTCTTTATTAGCGTCGTTTATCCTTTAATGTATATGCCAGAGATAAATATATACGACCAGTTGACAGACAAAGAGAGACAAAATAAAAAGCGGCATAATGTTGCCGGTTCGTGCGAGAAATAAAATAATAAACGAAGATAATATATCTAAGCTATTTAATCATGCTCATTTCTGTTAGACAGTTATTTAAGAATCTATTACAGCTGTAGTAAAATGAGTAACCCATTGTGAAAAATAAAGTTCCAACTCTAGATGCAACAAAATGATGATTTTTCCTAAACACCTACTATACGGTTTGAAATTTTGATGCAAAATCCGGCAATACCGCATAGAAGAAATGTATCAACTTAACTTTTATCTCTTTTTAATATATTTGATTTTTCATTTAAGCTGTTTACATTACTGTCTTACACGTTAAAAACCAGACCACGCTGTTTCGATGACCAGACCGGTATATTATAGATGTCTATAGATTAATATTGCATTAGTATAAGTTAAATAAGAAATCCAATCTAACCAAGCATCGCTACGTGCTTTTTAAATTTTAATCTGACTTCGGCATAGTAATATTTTCATTGACTATACATTCAATAATGATTATTTATAGGTTAATTTTCTAGGTTTACGTAATTCTCCAAATATATTATATTTATCATACTTAAAAAATATTGCTGAATAATCTCTCTGAATATATAAAACTGATTCTCCTCTCCTCAAAAGAAAGCAGTGTCTTCCGAGAACGCACCCACTAACCTAAACTCCCTCTTATCCAGGATCACCCTTAAGAATTGCGGGCACCTAGCCGAATACAAATTGGGCCTAACGCAATTAGCCCTGAGCACAAACTCCTCTGCGCGGGGCTGGCATCAGTGCATCAGGCTGATCGTCGGGCGGTGAGGACGATGACGATGGAGAAGGGGGGACGGATCCTAATCGTTGGCAATCCGCGAACATGGAGATTATCCTGGATCCGACCTGGGAGCGGTCTTTTTCGGGGATGTTTATTTCCTGGCCCGAAACTAGATCGCCTGGAATAAAAGGAATAGGGAAGTAAACGGATTTTTTTTTTACAAAAAAAAGTTTTTAGTCAAAAGCAGGGTTGGCATGATCTAAATCAAGTGATTTTTTTAATTTTAATCATGTGATTTAAATAAAAAAAATAATAATTTTATTGAGACTTTATTATAAATCAAAAAATAACCGTAAAAGTTATAAAAATGTGTCCTAGAAAACTATAAAAAATATTTCTATAACATATATAACAGATAATAAGTCGAAAAATAATTGTAAATGTTATAAAACTATATAAAAATATCTATTCGATAATTTAATTATTGTTGGACCGATTTTTGAACTAATTTCGTATATATCCATTAGATCGCTAAATGCAGGGAGATTTATTTTAAAATTTATGTATAAGTGACAAAAATTCGCTGTTCGAATACATATCATTTGCAAAGTCTAGGGCCCCAGAACTAGGTTCTTCTAATAGAGACTATATCTTCATTCCCGAGAATCAATAAATAATCGTTGTCAGAAAATGTTGTTTTATTTTTTTTTGAATCGGTTGTATGTTTCTAAATTCCTCTCGACATTTTGATCTGCAGTAAGTAGTTTATTAGGAGTAAAAATTAAACTTTTTTTGACGATGCTGTATACCTTTGAAGGTCCATCGTAAAGCTATTCCGACGTTACAGGGTGGCACAAAAAGTACATTTTACTCCGAATAGAACATACTTACTATTTTTTTTAAACATTACAAATAATTTTTTAATCAGTTTCAAACATTGCAAATAATATAAACAGTAATCGAGCAACAATTAGTACACTCCTTGAATTTGACACTTAATATTAGTTTAATAATATATTTCTGTATTTTTGTGAATAGGCGTAACAGTGCTTTACTTTTATGCCTAGGCGTTAAAATGACAAAAATTAATACTTTTGAGACGCTTGAAAAAAAATCCTTTTGATCTGAAGCGAACGACTTTTTTTACAGAATATATTGGTGACCGATGTGGAAAAATCACACGCCCCGTAGAATTGTTAATGTTATCGGTATCGGGGTATAGATTTAGCCATTTAGGATAGGACTTTAATTGGAGATAAGTCCTAGTCATCTGGAAATCCGATTTAAATATTGTTTTGAATTAAAATCAAAAAAATCTGATTTAAATAAAAAAACTGATTTAAATAAAAAAATCTGATTTTTTTTATTTTTTTAAAAAAATCATGATTTTTTCCAACCCTGGTCAAAAGTCATTGCTTTTTGATACAATAAAGAAATATTACAATTTTATTATACAAGATGTTTGAAAACAAACGCAAAACGTATAAATGTATGTCCTAAAATGCTTAGTTTCGGAGATACAGGGTGTAGAAATTTCATTTTTATTTCGATTTTTTTTCAAATAATTTCTAAGTAACGTCAATATTTGGATGAAAATTGGCGTCCGGGAGTTTTGTGACACCAGAAATTTGATTTTGATGTCAATATGACTCCTATATGTAGGGGGCCTAAGCCACAAGAGATGATTTCGACAGATAGCATTCAAAAAAATCACAAAACACAAATTAATTGTGAATTAAAATTACAGAAACAACACTCACTGTGTGTTCCCCAAGCGTTGGTTAAACAGACTATACGTAATTTAGGAAGAGAAAAGAATACAAAATACTTTAAATACTACACTTCTTACCTATGGCTCTACTGACTTCCTCGTCCTCCTGTCCTGAAGGATTCAGCTTGTAATTTAAAGAATTCACTTGCGATATCCGGACCTCCAACTCGGCGACATCTTGTGCGAAAGCCTCAAACCTTTTCGGCTGCAGCTTGGTGTCGCGCGTTATCCTTTCACCTTGCTTGAGCAGAGATGAGACGCGAGCTGTAGCTTCGGACGGTATTGTGGGTAGACTCTCTAGTTCGTCTATCAGACGCAGGATGGCGCTGTGGGTTAGGATGGGTACGACCAGTTCGGCTATTTGGCCTACAGTTCTGAAATCTAGAAGAATGGTATAGCTGTAATAAGACATTTATTATATTGAAAAACAAGAACGCTGTGCTAAAGTGTTTCTCTTTTCATGTCTTCAAATCCCAAATCGAACAGTATGTAAAAGTACATACATGGCCAAAATTATTGCATATATAGTTTAAAAATATACGGAAAGGAATTTAAAGAATCTTTTTTAATTATTATTGATAATCTGTGATGAACATTTTTTTTTGTTAAAATAAGCAAGAAGACTCCATGACAGAGGATTACATTTAAGGAGGCCTCTACGTGTTCCGAAGCTTAATTTACAGCACAAAATTACGCGACTACAATGGGCCGAGGAGATGAGAGCAAATGGACCTAATTGGAATTTCGTCATGTTTAGTGATGAAACAAAAATAGGCCTAGCGTCAGACTAGCGACGTACTTTGGTCTGGAGAGCATCTGGAAGACGAGCACGCTTGAATGCAGCTCAACCCCGTGTCCCGTTTCAAGGGGGAAGCATTATGGTCGATTATGGTATAGGCAGGTATAATGCACGGAGCTCGAACTCCTCTTGTTTTCGTTGATGGCACAATGACAGGTGCCTCATATCTTAGACTCTATCGATTTGTTTACATGGACGATAATGCTCCTCCCCATCGCACTTTGGCGGTTCGCGAATTTTGTGAGGAAGAGGGTATAAAAAACTGTGGTGGCCACCGATGTCTCCAGATATGAATGTGGTCGAGCATGCTTGGGACATGCTAAAACGCCATACTGCCAAAAGGAATGATCCCTCCCGTACCTTAAATGAACTGAAAATTGCTGCGCGCGAAACATGGGAAGCCATTCCTCAACATCTTCTGGACAACTTAATTGAGAGCATGCCACATCGTCTCACAGCTTGCATTGAGGCTCGAGGAGGCAATACAGACTATTAGTTGTAAGAAATAATTAAAATTATTGTTTTCAATATTTTCTGTTTAAAATGAAATTTGTTTTTGTTGATTTTCACTCATTATGAAATAAAATTATAATAACAGCCTAGTTGCAATTGGATTTTTAATTTTATATTAGTTAGTCGTGTAGTAAGCCAATGTGTCCAAAAATATAAAAAGAATAATATTAGGTCCAAAATAAAATAAAAATATCGTTGTATGCAATGATTTTGGCCATGTATGTATGTAATACACAATGTTACGGTAAAAAAATAAAACGGTAAGAGATACAGGGTGGCTTAACTTGGTGCAAAGTTGCGCAAAAATCCGTTTACTAATTGAGTTTATCTTTCTCATTCCCCAATATGGTGAAAAACTGAAATAACACTGAATAAACACCTTCTATATTTAAAAAAAAGTAAAATAGTTTACAAAAAAATTCGTGTAGTTACACAAAAATAAAGCATCAATAAAATTAGTTGCTGGCTCACCTAAGAATTGTAAAATCTTTTCAGCTTCCCTAGTATCGTCGAACAGCCTTTTTTGTCGATTTGCCGGTACAGGTCTGGCGTTTCTCCACATCTCCACCCAAATGTTGTCCTCCAGCTGCATCCTAGGACTTAAATGTCCTTTTTTCTGTCCGAACTCGTCCAATTCGTTGTCTTCTTCAATCCAGTCTCGAGGGGAATACCTGGAAAATGTTAAGTTTTGAAATTTAACATTGAGCTTTGTTAAATCTTTTTATATGGTGCGGTCAACAAAGATTGAAAAGTTCGCAATACTGTGTTAAAGGATTTTTCGAGGACGATTGAAAATTTTTAGCAAATTACGAGGCAAATTATGTCAATTCACTGACATTCAATTCAGAAAATTCAACATTTTTTTTTTGTTTTTGATTATCTTTTTGAAATAAGAAAATTTTGAATTTTTTGAAAAAAAAATTGGATTTTTTTTTTAATTTCCAGCTAAATCATAATTACCTTGATAATATGGCAGCATAGGTTAGAGATTAAACTTAAAAGAAAGAAAACCCAGAAAAGATCCAGTGGTTCTTAAAATTTTAGTAAAAAGTCGATTTTTTAAATTTTTTTTTCGATTTTCTCCCGAAAATTTTCAATATAAAATAACTTGGTTATTTTGGACTTATTTGAAAAATATTAAAGAAAAAATATGTTTTTTTTATCGAGATCTGCCAATCCTGAAAATATTGGCACTTATTTCTGACTCTGTATTTTCAATGCTTTAAGAAATATTTCCGAAAATTTTCCAACGCTATCACCAGGTAGATATATAGGCTGTTACCTTCTGAGATTGCAACTAAAATATCCTTACTAATAGTTAAATTTGCGTAGAATTTAATGGACAACCTTTTTTTTTTAACCTTTGAATGATACCTCTAACAGATCTCTTTTCATCAGAATAATTTGAGAAAAAGATACAAATCAAATTAATATTTTCCATTTTATGGTATTTTAGCAACGAATATTTCAGGAACAAAAAGTGAAAAATCTTAAAAATAGATGTGTAAAGTGCGCATTTAAGTCTACAATATACAGGGTGGCGCCCCTCATTCGCTTCGGTTGAGCGATTTTTTAAATAAAATTGTAATCAAGATGGCTGGTGTCGCCATGGCAATTTTCTAGTGACAGTTAGTAACTATTTTCAAAGTCGACATTAGTTTATGGATATTATTATTTATAATTTATAACAATTTACTTAACAATAGTTTAATAAGTAAGTATTCATTATTTTATCAAGAAAAATAAAGCAGTATCTGCTGGCGGAACGAATAGATATGTTACTAGTGATATTATTTTGTGAGGAAAATTGCTTCTTGGCCTCAAGGGCTTATGCTCAAAGATATCCAAATAGGAATCTTGAATTTGCCGTAATTGGCTCTTTTATAGAAAATCCATGTATCTACAAGTTATCGCAAAATCATTCAAAGACTACTTCTTCGTTTTTTTTGATAGAATAATAATAATAAACACATATTTAATAAATATTATTTATTAAACTGTTGTATGTAAATTAAATAAAAGTAAACTGGTATAAATTTAAATAAGTCCATAAACTAATTTCGATTTTGAAAATAGCTACTAACTGTCACTAGAAACTTGCCATGACAACACTAGCCATCTTGATTACAATTTTATTGAAAAATCGCTTTTTATTCAAAATCTGAGCCAGATAGGTATAAGAAACCCCAATATAGTTTGAAAGAGCATTTAAATCTGCTTCGACTTATTTAAAAAAAATACATAGTGTTGCATTTGAAATAACGAATTTTTATATGTAAAATAAATATTTAAAATAGACCAGCAATTTTGATACCCCTGTATACATTTAAGAAGGAATAACATTTTTCTGTAAAGTTTATTTCTCTACCTTTAAACTCAGCACAAGAACTAATTCTGAAAAGTAATGTACAGGGTGTTAATAATCTATTCTATTGTAGCATGCAAATTTAAATATCTTTCAATATCTCAAAAACTAAAGATTTTAAACATATTTAACCCTTATAATAAATACCTTTTTTGGGCCCAAGAATCCAAAAATGAAATAAAATACCGGGTGTTCCATAAGAAAAAATATAACTTTGGTATGGATCTTAATTCTGAAACACCCTGTACATTTCAAAATAATTTTAAATTGTGCACATTAGCTCCCCACATATAACCATAAAATATTTTGTTTCTACATTTTTCCGTTTTCGTATAATCAACCGAGGCGAATGAGGTACGCCACCCTGTATTGTAAATTAAGCCAAATCGATTTTTCGAAAAAAGTTCAAAGTCTCCTCAAGCAAATTTTGACAAAAATCGAAATGTCTGAGATTGCAACTAAAATATCCTTCCCAATAGTTACTATAATTTTATTAAGAAAACCAAACCAAACAGCTCTTGAGTAATTTAAGAAATATACAAAACAAATCAATATTCTCCATTTTACAACATTTTAGCAACGAATAAGTAAGAACGATCTTCGGATTCACGGTTTTTTTAACACTGTCTCCTAAATGAACACATCAGTAGATTGAAGCTAAGAAGCAACGGCGAATGCAGATTCTGTGGGGAAAATGGGGAAACACTAGAACACTTCATTACTGAGTGCGTCGAGACGACAACCGTTCGTGTCATAAACTTCGGTACGCCTGATATCGGAGATGGATAACTAACCTCTGTAAAACCGTCTCAGATACTGGCTTTTATCGAAGCCCTGAGACTGGATGATGAGTTATAATTCAAACAAGATATAAAATAGATATATAAGGTCACGGTGATTAACCTCCCCTTCTTATATAGAATGCAGAATGGGAGGGGGGGTCCCCCCTTCCCTGAGTTATCACTCATCACACAGTCTGTAACCCGTCAAACATGAGGGTTTTCCTGTTGTAGGGGGGATAGGGTATTTCCCATCCTCCTTTAACAACAGACGTTCTTCCTCCGAGGATATACATCTTCCCACGGTTGGAGTTTGGCACTCCCTGCCCTTCACAGTCGAGGAGCTTGTATCCGGCTCTCCGTGAGGTAGAGGCTGAAGGACCTGTGTCAATTTTCTCCATCTCTTTAACTTGGCCTCCTCTTAGACCTGACATCGATGTTGTCCCGAATCTCCCTTCCCATACAATCTACATTTGTAGCAACGAATATATCAGGAACAAAAAGTGTCAGTCTCAAAAATGAAACAGTTTTCTATTAAGAATAGATTTTCATTTCTAAACTATTTATCAGTAGTTTAGAAATTATACTCTTCCCTAAATATAGCAATCAATTAAACTAAATTCTTCTTTAAGAAACTTTTAAATTAAATTAACCCACGATAAAGCCATCGAACTCAAAAATAACTTGAAAGCCATCGAAGTTGTGCACTTTACCATCTGATAAAGTCCTCCACCACCGAGCCGGGATTAGCCGCCTTGAACGACTCCATATCGGATAAGAGGCTGGCGCTCATGATTCGCGCCCTCAATTCGGAGGCCTCTTGGTCGGAGCCCAGCTTCAAAAGCACATCTGCAACAAAAATGGAGAGGGATTATTTGAGAGGATTAATAAAATAGCTTTAAAAAAATATAGAATTTACTAATATTCTTTAGGTCATAATAAAAAATATCAATAGTTTTTCAATTTACCAAAACTGATATATGGAGTGGTCAGAATTAAAATCAATCAAGTCCAGTTTCCTACTATTTTAAGATAATCGTCTTAGACGGAGAGCTGGCTACATAAAAACCTAATTATCGTTACATGGATAATTTTCTTGTGAAGTATCCTTTTGTGTAGCCATTATGGAAATAGTCATGTCTGCCAGCGTGATCCCGGACGTGTGTTAAGTTAGTACCGCCACTTAAATATATGAAACTATGTGGAATAATTGCCGCAAATTAGCCCGTAAATTTGCCGTGAAAACGAAAAATTTGCCGCTTTTCGCTAAGTATGTTAAATCGATGGTTGTGCTAAGTTAATATTAAGTTAGCACAACCACCATTGGAAATCAGTGAAAAAACATAGTTAGAAATTTTACAGTATAGCAGGAATTTGCCGTTTTTTGCCGTTCTTAGATACAATTAAAAAAAATATCCTCCGATCATTCGCTATCCCCCTGCAGCAAAAAATGTAATAGCGTCAAGGTCATATATTAAGTTAGCACCATTATTCCAGTAAACGGTAAGTAAAATATCTTAAATTAGGTGGAACAATTGGCCGTAAATTAGCCGTAAATACACCATGCAAACCAAAAATTTGCCGCTTTATTATTTGTTTTTAAAATTCACTAAATGGGATCAATAATTACTTTATAGAACAGCAGGAATATGCCGTAAACAAGCCGTGAAATCGAAAAATTTGCCGCTCTTTTATTTCTCTATGAAATCTACAGGGTGATTCAGGCTTCCGAAAAAACTCTATGTTAGATTTTTGGTTTGTGAATTTCATTTCATTTTTTTTATGTAATATGGAGGTAATGGTAACGCACATTTTGAAAATACTTTTGTCAGCATACAGGGTGATTCAAACATATTTTCAAACTAAAGTATATTTTTAACGCAATACTATATATTTTTTTAGCTCAGTGGATTTGCCACTAAATTTCTGTTTCAAAATACCCCGATGTCATATACTATACCTAATGGTTTTTGAAATATAACCGTTTTTAAACTTAATTTACTGCTTATTTAAAGTCCTCTGAAAATTCTAAATTCGAAGAATTTCAAAAAAATTTAAGAGGAAGTACTGTATAATAGTGTCTTCTTCAAAATTCGGTCTACCAATATTTGCTATCTTGTTTGATATATACAAGGTAAGTCAAAACTAAATGTTGTTATTTTATCTACTATTTTAAATGGAATACCCTGTATTTTGTCTCATAATCGAACAAGGTGTTTTTTAATCTTTTTGTTTTATTAAGTGCTTCTTATGCCGAAAATCGATATTTAATAAGAAAATTCTCTATCCCTGCAGCTAAAAATGTAATAGCGTCAAGGTCATATATTAAGTTAGCACAACCATTCCAGTAAACGTTACGTAAAATGCCTGAAATTAGATGGAACAATTGCCGTAAATTAGCCGTAAATACACCATGCAAACCAAAAATTTGCCGCTCTATTATTTGTTTAGAAAACCGATAATTTTTTTAATTAACATAAACGATAACGTTAAATTAGCGCGATTTTTCTTAAAATTCACTAAATGGGATCAATAATCACTTTATAGAACAACAGGAATATGCCGTAAACAAGCCGTGAAATCGAAAAATTTGTCGCTCTTTTATTTCTCTATAAAATCTACAGGGTGATTCAGGCCTCCGAAAAAACTCTATGTTAGGTTTTGGTTTGTGAATTTCATTTCATTTTTTATGTAATATGGAGGCAATGGTAACGCATATTTTAAAAATATTTTTGTAAACAAATAATAGAGCGGCAAATTTTTGGTTTGCATGGTGTATTTACGGCTAATTTACGGCAATTGTTCCACCTAATTTCAGACATTTTACTTAACGTTTACAGGAATGGTTGTGCTAACTTAATATATAAACCTTGACGCTATTACATTTTTTGTTGCAGGGGGATAGAGGATGACCGGAGGACATTTTTTTTAATTGTATCTAAGAACGGCAAAAAAACGGCAAATTCTTGCTATACTGGAAAATTTCTAACTATGTTCTTTCACTGATTTCCAATGGTGGTTGTGCTAACTTAATAATCTTATTAATTAATAATCTTATTAATTAATAAACTTAATAATCAACTTAGCACAACCATCGATTTAACATACTTAGCGAAGAGCGGCAAATTTTTCGTTTTCACGGTAAATTTACGGCTAATTTACGGCAATTATTCCACATAGTTTCATACATTTTTTTTAAGTGGTTGTGCTAACTTAACACACGTTGATCCCGGGGCTTAAAACGGGGGCGGCCAATCGAAAGGGTGAAATTTTTACTTTAAAAATATTATAAGGTACAGGAGTTATAATTGCAAAAATAGCTTTTATTTATTATTAAGAAACGTGAAAAATTGTTGGCAGACATTTTTCTCGTCGCTAAAATGCCGGCAGACAACGCGAAAGAGGCATGAACTTTTTTCCAGAGCCCTGAAACTATAAACCCTGAAAATATTTGCATGTATACATGAAAATTTTAAGGTGTTTATTTTTCGATGACCAGTCAGTGTAGGTATAATAAACGTCTTAACATATCCTAATACTATAAGCATTACAAGCATTAGTAAGTAGGTATTTATTTTTCTTTATGATCTGAATGATCAAAGCGATCAACTTTCATATCATATCCGCCCGTCTTCTTTTTACTTTTGCCTAATCGAAAATAGCTCGCCAAGTACCGAAAGTAAAACCAATTAGGATGTGACTAGCACGATATCATAATTTTCTGTATCAAACAAAAAAGGTCCGAGAAAGTATTTCACTTCGTACATGCGATAGAAAGCTGAAATAAAAATATGAGTAAAAGGAAAATGCTTTAACATTTCATATATTAATATAAATCTAATCACACCTTGTAGGTGATCTAAATAATACAGCGCGAAATAAAAGGGTTTAAAAAATGATGTTTTTTTCAAACGTCACAAAAGTATTAATTTTTGCAACGTGATTGACAATATAAAAAAGTCCTTTTAACGCCTAGGCATAAAAGTTAAAGCACTTTTACGACTAAGCATAAAAGTACGAGAATATATTATTAAACTGACATAAAATGTCAAATTCATAGAATCATAGTTTCTCGATAAATAATTACTTAGAAGGTATTATTTTTAAATTCTTTTATATTATTTGGAACGCTGGAACATTGGAATGTCCACAGAATATTGGAACACACTGTATATAGGATAAAAAAAAGGTTTCATTCAGATAATCCTGTTAAAAACATTTACCGGTATCTTCTTCCAATTGATCTTCAGTTTTCAACACCGGATCCTGCGTAAACGGAATATATAACGGATCTCCCGTTTTCAACAGTTTCATTTCGCCGAACTTGCTCAATCTACCCACAGGCTTGTCCCACAACGAATATTCCCTACGATCGACTTCGTCATCATTGGCATCGAAGAATTCCTCATCAGAATCTCCAGAATCTTCTGTGGAGAAGAACTTGGCATTCTCGCGGGCTATTTTACGTTCCAGGCAACAGTTGAGCATCTGGAGTTTTTGGTTTAGGAGGCAAGTGCGAAGATCTGGCATTCCAGGTGGTAGTCTGGAACAAATGAAATAATCTGGTAACAAATGAAATAATAATAAGTTTTATTTTTTTTATAAAATACTTAAAAAAACCTAAGAAAAACTAATAATTCAATTTTAATAATACGCATTTTTTAATATTTTTAAAATATTGCTCTACGAAATAGTTTAAATCAAAGAAATAACTCTAATGCGGATATAAACAAAACTGAGATTGGAAAAATACTTATTTGACATTTAAATGAAATTACTTCGTGTTTAGCGAAAGGTCAAGAGAAAGAGTAATAAAAAATAATTAATTGCCATTTTATGATTTTATTGGGGATATCAATAGTTATGTATAGTAATTAATTTATACAATTTAAATGTCTCACCTCTGTAAACAAACTATTAATAAAATTATAAGCTCTTCTTATAATTTGTACAGGTTGTTCAATTTTATGATTCTATGAATCTAAATAAAATAATGAAGGGAAAAGACCTAATAAAAAAACCTAATATTTCCTCATTTTTGGATGTATGTCTATGTGATATACACCTATAACATATCGTTGGCAAGGAACACGAGAGTTTTTTTTTGAAGTTTATAGCTAACTATGATTTCCATTTATAAAAATATATATTTTTTTATTTCTGACAAAAAGCGTAGGTATAGAAAAAAACCGATTAAGACACGTTTAAGAATGTTTTAACAGAATTTTATTCAATTCTCAAAATAGTCGACAATTCAAAACAACCCTGTATATAGATTTGAAGTAAAAATATCGACAAGCGGTATAATATACCCTGAAACATGTTTCAGAAACCAAGGCCAGAGACCTATATCGGTTTGGCTCTATCTAGTCAGTAAATAGGTTTTCTCTGTCAAAACAGACCAATGTCTACCACCCTGTACTAAGTATATAAATAATATAACCATCAATAATATTACGTTGTATAAAAATCTTATCGTGAAATAAAGTCTATAGTAAATACTAAGAATATCTTGTCTAATTTAATTAAAACTGCTTTTACTTACTTATGTACTACTTAACGAATGGTATCATTAGTGTGTGCAGGTCAGGAACCAAAAACGAATTTCAGATACCAGAGCATGCAATTTAATAAAAAAATAATTGTTTGTAGTTTTTTTAAAGAAAAGTTGGGATAAAACAATGGCGACAAAAAATAGTATAACTTGTCAACGAATACGAAAAGTAAATAAGAATAAAACACTTGATGAGAAAAATGTAATTGAAAAATCATGTGGGTGAATAATTTAATAACGAATGTTCTCAAGATAGCATTAATTGTGGCGACATAATAGAAGCAACACGCAATGCGTGTTTTCTGCAAAAAAAGGATGTACACAAAGAAAAAATATACCATTCGAATGAAAAAAAAGCCGTCAGAGTTGGCTTAAAAATGACAAAAATGAAAAATTATAATGTACCTACTTACAGTAAATGTCATGGATTGTAACTCTCCAGCTAACTTGGCGCTGTTTTTTTTTCAATCATATGGTACTTTTCATCAGTAATTCTTAAGTGTATAGTGTTATTGTTTAAAACAATACTTTATCATTAAAACAATATAAAGTATGCCCAAAAAGACAAAGAACAACTTCGACAAACGACATCGAAAAATGAATTTGCTGTTGATTTGAAATGACAGACGAGAACAGTTACTGTTGGACAGACTATTGAGTGGTAAAAGAGAAATATACGACATGAATATTTCATGAAAATATTGACGTTTTGACTACAAACCAAACCAAAACAAATTGAGATGATCCTATCACACATAGATTCAATTTTATTCAGAATAAATTGTGTTCATAGAGTAATTATTTGTTTAATGCCTAAAAAATTAAAGAAATTGCATAGTAAGAAGAAATAATATATTATTAATCATCGTTTAATTTGATTAATGCAATATAAAATAAGTTGTAGGTCAGACCTACGCCAAGACTCTTGCAATCTTACACTCTCTATTTAGATCCAATTTTTCTGAAGACTACAAAACTATGACCAAGACAAAGAGAGGTCTTGGTCTTGCTCTTGCATTTGCTCGTTACTATTCTTAGTTTTAAGCTATTTGACCCCCAAATGCAAAAAAAAACTATAAAACTTACAATTTACCTAAGAATAGTTTATAGATATATTTTTTTTATTTAGGTAGTTGAAATCTACAATCTCTCTTTTTCTGAAATAGATATCAAATAACAAATTTAACAAAAATATAGGTAAAATAACGGATGCCTTTTAACAAGCTAATATTTTTTCCGTTAACTGTTAGGAAGAAAGAAAATACCGTATAGTAGGTATATTAAATAATGCACTACGCCAGTAAGTTTGACAGGAGGTACTAGATAAATGTTCTGCAGAAAACCTATAGTTTTTGCGTGTACGTTCAGCTTAACCAACAGTGCAGCGGTGGCCAGATAGACAGTGGCTCCTTTATTTGCCACTTAATGAGCTGTTTTAGATTGTGTTACGGCAACCTCTTGAGAACTAGAGCACAATGTTTGATATGTCTTAAGTAGTGCGTATAGAATGAAATATAGTTAGTTTTTTTCAAGTAACCGGATGGATTTGAAGTAGATAATCTAAGGATATAATTTACGAAATAGGAATCGTATTGGCAATACTGCAGTAATTAATAAAGAAATAATTTTCAGCTTATTCAACCATTTCCAATTATGGTGTAGCCTCCCTCACATATTTAGATACACTCTTTGTAGTTGGGCCCATTGTTGTCTATTGTTGGCTATGCGGGCCCAAGTTATCCCTGCTAACTATTCTCCCCCTAGTTATCCCTCCACTCTATTCTTTTACGGTCTCTCTTGTTTATTACCAGCATATTTCGTTCGATTGAGCGTTGTGCGACCTGCATTTTCCTGATAATGTCCGTTTTAAGTGTCCAGGTTTCGAATGCATAGGTCATGACGAGTAGTACACATTGGTCCAAAGTTTTCTTCTTTAGATAAAGTGGCATTCTAGATTTGAATAAGATTGAGTTTCTTCCATAGTACTCCATGCTAACTTAATTCGTCTGTTGATTTCTGCTTATAGAGATCCCGAGCTGTGTATTAGTTGTCCAAATATACTGTGTCAATTTTAAAACTTCCCAAGTAACAAAATTCCGACTTCCGACTAGTTTTGACTAGGCGCAACGTTGAAATTGGTACTTTTCCCTGCCCTATGCATACCCAAACCTCAAATCACGTAGCCAAAACATCGCTACGACGTTGCACTTAAACAGTAGTATATTTTGACCCTTAACAACGTTGGTAAACGTTGTAGGGCACAACGTTGTTAGAAGTGGCAATTAGCAATGTCATCAGTGAATCTTAGATGGTTAAGATATCCTCCATCTATTCTTATTCCTTTGTTGGTCCAGTCGAATTGACGGAAGATTTCTTCTAGTGTTGCTTTAAACACCTTTAGCAAATAGAGAAATAAAAGTATGAAATTATTTTTCTATGTAAAGGTTGATTTTCACTATACCTTCCGTTTCCATTCCATATCCATTCTATATCCGTTCCGTATTTTTTTATTGTATTCACACTATACGTGTGCTTCCGTTCCGTATCAGTTCCATAATTTTTATTGTACAATTTATATTACGAAAGTTTTATTTTAAAAATTTGTATCTTTTAAAAAAGATAACAGATTTAATTAAGAGGTGAAAGAATAAATAAATATTAGTAAAATGTAAAAGAGCTGGTACAAATGTAAGGACTTGACAACGCTGTTTCCGATACGCTCCAGTCCGTCCGTCAAAAAAATGTATGGAAGGAAAGGATATGGAACGGAAGGGAAACGGAACAGATAGTGTGCATTGTCCTATTCATTTGCATGATATAATATTTTATGTAAACGGAAGGGAAACAGAAGGTAGCTGATATGGAAGGTATAGTGAGAGTCAACCTTTATGTTCCCAAAGTTAATAAAAAAACAGGAAATGATGGGGAAGTTTTATTTTTCATTGGGGAAATGCCACCTGGGTTTATATATTTTCGATTAAAACAAATAAGTGTTAAAAATTTTACAATTTCAAATTCTAAATCTGCCGAAATGAAGCTCTCAACGCTTCTTCCCGCATTTCTTCCGTCGCGTCGGCAAGTTTGAGGTCAAATTAATTGCTACGAGAATTTGCATTTTCCTAATTGAAAAACTGGTAGGGATGACTTATAAAATAAAGCCTCTCCGAAGCTTCGAAAAACTATTCTCGTTCCCGCTGTCGGAAGCCAAGGCGCTGCTGGTGGAGAACACAGGTGAACTCGGCCATGCATTTCAATTTAATTAATTCGTTAAAAGTGGAGTGAATAAAAATTAAAGTCCAAATTGAATAGAATGGGTGAGAACAAGCAAAGTCTGTCGGTAGAATGCTATGATCAAGTTAACTGTTGGCTAGACCTTTTTGTAAGTAACAAAATTAGGATATATATTTAACTCGTTAATTATATAACCTGAAAATAAACTAATATTATATATTGTTATCAATTTCATTTAATATAACAAAATGTATCTACTTTCCTAAATGTAATCTACTCCAAAAACATTTTTATTTTGCTCTCATATCTCAATTATTAAAGGACAAAGCAAAGTATAGGATTTCAAAGAAAAATCGAAATCATTATCATATTTTAGCCAACGCAACATAGAAATTGAGAAAAAGCCTTTGAGACCGATTACCCCCAAATCCCCCAGATAACAGAGTAACTGCTACTTCTTCACTTATTTAAAAATTCTAGTAATCTAATTATGCAATTATATTAGTCTCATCAAATGCATAATTTTATTAAGTTAAACATCGATCATCATCTTATTCAGCAATTCACCTTCCTTATGTTAGTCCCACAATTTAGATACCTTCTGTACTGGCACATTGTTGTAACTTTTTTATTCCTTCCATGTCTTTTTTAATATATAATATTATGATGTCTGCCTATCCATCACCGATTCCCTGGCGTTATTATCAGCGGTAGATATTTGCACGCGTAATTATTTTTTACGTTCCCTTGCACCAACG